CCACAGGCGCCTGCCACAACGCCTGGCTATTTTTGGGTTGCAGCCATCATTGTTGTTTGGCGGGCCAGGGCTGGATTTGAACCTGCCAGCTCTGGTGTATGTGGCTGGCGCCTTAGCTGTTTGAGCCACAGGCACCGAGCCATTTTTAGGATTTCTTGCTAAAGCTTCAGAATCTTTATAAAGTACATCACAGATGTGTTATGGTTTGTGTATGCTTTGAGGATAATGAATATTTTCAAGTAATTAAACATCTTTTTGCCAAAATAACCTACTTAGTATTTTATATTAATTTTTTTCTTTTCTTTTTTTTTTTTGAGACAGAGTCTCACTATGTTACCCTCCGTGATGTCACAGCTCACAGCAACCTCAAACTCATGGGCTTAAGCAATTCTCTTGCCTCAGCCTCCCAAGTAGCTGGGACTACAGGCACCAGGCACAATGCCTAGCTTTTTTTGGTTGCAGTTCTCATTGTTGTTTAACAGGCCCGGCCTGGGCTCGAACTGCCAGCGTCAGTGTATGTGGCCAGAGCCCTACCTCCTGAGCAATGGGTGCTGAGCCACCTTTTTCTTTTTTTTAGAGAGAGGATCTTACTTTGTCAACATTCTGGAATGCAGTGGTATGATCAGAGCTCACTGTAGCCTCAAATTCCTGCACTCAAGAGACCCTCCTGCTTTAACCTCACTAGTAGCTAGGTGGTATATACCACCATGCCTGGCCTTTTTTTTTTAGAGATAGGGTCTCACCATGTTGCCCAGGCTTCTCTGGAACTCCTGGCCTCAAGTGATCCTCTTACCTCAGACTCCTAAACTGTTGGTATTACAAATGTGAACTACCATGCTTGGCCCTCAGTATTTTATTTTTAAAGTAATTAATAGTTTAAAATACTATATTAAAATACCACTGGAGTTTAGTACTTAAAAGTATGAACTTTGGAATCAAACCAGCCGGAGTCCAAAACTGCCATTTAACTAATACTTAAGCGCTAAGCTACAGTTTATATATCTGTAAGGTAAGGATAGTAATGATTCCTACTTAATAGGGTTGTGACAATTAAATAAGATAAGATTGTAAAGGTTTTAGGCCAGTGCCGGGCATAGAGTGATCTCTTAAAAATACTAGTTATTCCTTTCATAAATTTTTTGATTATACACACTAATTATAGTTTTTCTGAGTAGTCTGTACAATTATTTTTTATGTGATATTTTCATTCATGCAATCAGTTGATCAGTTTGTTCTTTCCTTTTCTCTTGAGATTGTAATTAATGGCCTTCCTTATCTTCTAAAGAAAATAGTCTTAAGTAATTGTCACATCATAAGTAGCATAATTACTCAGGTGAATTCAGATGATTTGGCACCCAAGAGTCAAACTATCTAGAGCAGATATAAATACCATATGAAAACTATTAACAAAAGTTACTTCTAGTTTGTAAGAATTAAATCGATCTCCAGTTCCTAGGTAATTTGTTTAGAATTTTAAGTACAGCATCAAGCAATCATTTAGTGAAAACATTAGCATTTAGAAACTGATTTCAGGATAAACACCTTTTAAAAAATTATTTTATA